GCTGACGCTAAACTGCTATGCTGAAATGTAATGTGTAAGAAGAAAGTGAAGACTTTAGATTGAAATGATACATGAACACTGGGGGCTTGAATGTGTGATGAGTGAAGAAAAGAAAGTAAAAAGGCTTGGAAAAGCAGCAGAATATTTTAACTGCAAACTTTTGAACTAACTTGATGGTGAATGATCTGTCGCCATGGCAACAGCATTTGATGACACCCCATAATACGCTTAGATGCGTTGATGGCTGCATCGTTACCAAACCTGTGAAGTTTTGGGCCGTTTGGAACATTTTCACTGAAGTTATGAGAAAACCGTGTTTCATGGCGAGCATTGTGTTGCCATGGCAACGGCATTTGAAGAAACCCCATAATTGACGTAGAGCTGTTGAGGGCTGGACCAGTGATATACAAGCGAAGTTTGGGGGACGATCGGACCGTTTCCATTGGACTTACAGCGACATCGTGCTTCATGGCGAGTGGTCTGTCGCATGGCAACGGCATTTGATGACACACCCATAATTGGCGAGGAATGCGTTTCCATGGAAACGGCATATGGTGAGATTTCAAATTTGGCGTAGAGCTGTTGAGGCATGGACCGGTGATATACAAGTGAAGATTGGGGGACGATTGGACCGTGTCCATTGACTTACAGCGACATCGTGTTTCATGGCGAGTGGTCTGTCGCCATGGCAAACGGCATTGATGACACCCCATAATACGCTTAGATGCGTTGATGGCTGCATCGTTACCAAACCTGTGAAGTTTTGGGCCGTTTGGAACATTGTGTGTGAGAGAGAGGAGAGAGGAGAGAAGAGAGAGAGAGAGGAGAGAGGAGAGAGAGAGAGAGAGAGAGAGAGAGAGAGAGAGAGAGAGAGAGAGAGAGAGAGAGAGAGAGAGAGAGACAGGCAGACGGAGGAATACCTGAGATTGAGGAAGAGAGATTGAGGAAGAGGAAGAGGAAGATATTGAGGAAGAGGAAGATGGAGAGAGGAAGATATTGAGGAAGAGGAAGATGGAGAGAGGAAGATATTGAGGAAGAGGAAGATGGAGAGAGAAAGATATTGAGGAAGAGGAAGATAGAGAGAGGAAGATATTGAGGAAGAGGAAGATAGAGAGAGGAAGATATTGAGGAAGAGGAAGATAGAGAGAGGAAGATATTGAGGAAGAGGAAGATAGAGGAAGATATTGAGGAAGAGGAAGATAGAGGAAGATATTGAGGAAGAGGAAGATAGAGGAAGATATTGAGGAAGATAGAGGAAGATAGAGAGAGAGAGAGAGAGAGAGAGAGAGAGAGAGAGAGAGAGAGAGAGAGAGAATGAAATGAACAGTTAGAACTGACTCTTGATCGCCCTCTCTCTCTTCTCTTGAACGGCATATGATGACACCCCATAATTGACGTAGAGCTGTTGAGGGCACGACCATTAACCATTATCTGAAGTCTGCTGCTCTGAGCATGTCAGTTGGAGTGATGACATCATCGTGTTCCATGACACAGGTGTTTATATTTGAGCTAACGAGGTGTCCAGAGATCAAAGGTTTCCATTGTTCTGAATGAGAGATAAACCTCTTACGTGTGAACGTTTTGTGGAAGAATGATAACAGATATCTGTGAAATTTCAAAACGTGAAGCATGTCAAGGAAGTTGAGTATCTGAAGTGTAATTTTTGTGTACTTTCGGGTTAATAATGTGGCCTTTTTGGCAGTTTAACTAAAGGTGTGCGGCTGCTGCTGTGAGGAAATATCAGCCTGAAATTACAATGGGTTTTAATGGAGACATGTTGAAAATGTTTGTCACTTCATGCCCTCAAGAGGCATTTTGTTTAATTATTTTTGCTTAATTATTTGTCATTTTTCAAGCTACGAGATGTTTTCCTACGTTTGTCATGAAAAATTATGTCTCAGGAATGTAGGGTTTGGGAATTATGGCAGTTATAAAAACATATATGAAGGCAAATTTCAAGATTTCCTACACTCTAGCTGTGACATCACGCACTCTGCCTTAACGAGCTGCGCAATGTTAAAGTTAAAATGTTAAAAATGTGATGTATTATGGGATGTATCTCTGGAATTATGAAAGTTATGAATGATAAAAGTAATAGCCTGCGATTCCCGACCGAGCTGAACGTTTTGATGTTTGAACGGAGTTTCTGCGATGTTGAATGTGGGAGGAGAAGAGGGCCAAATTAAGTCGGTGGAATAATAAACTTTTTGTCCGTAGCATAACATATAGTTGGAATGCTGTATCAGCATTCCCACTAAACTACTAATATATGTTGCAAATCACCCTTTTTATCCACGAATATGACAAAACGATGATGAAAAGGAACCGATTAAAAACCTACTATGATATTCAATAGTGTTGATGGGACAGACAGGAGTGGATTGCAGTTTCACAGTGAGCAGTGTTTGATGCTGCAGAGCTGAAGCAGAGGTCAACACAAAGCTCAGCGCTGGGATTACTATATCTTTGTATTGCAGGTTGACTAATAGGTGAAAACTAAGAAGAACACAAGACAAAGGACTAAGACAAAATATATAGCTTACAAAAACTACACTTCCTACAAGGTGTTGATGGATATGTATCTCTCAAAAAAACAACAGCTGTGTTGGAAATACACTGAAAAACCTGAAACGTTGAATTAAATAAAACATATTATGTTCAACTTCATATTATTGCTTCCAACTAACCTAACACAGTTATGTGGAATTTGTTGACATAAAACCTTTATTTAAAGGTGGGGTAGGTAAGTTTGAGAAACCGGCTCGAGATACACTTTTTGTTATATTCCATGGAATGCTCTTAACATCCCGATAGCAATGAATATCTTAAGTGCTTTGACAAAAAAATCCATAAAAAAATGTCATCTGTGGAAGCCGTAGTACTGTAAAAAGCACGACCAATCATTTTAGCCGGCCCGGCTAAAATGACTGGATGGCCTACCTGCCTGTCAGCCTTCCATCTGTGCACAAACTTATCTCGTGCCCTCATTGGTCATGTGCGCGTTTGTGTGTGTTGGAGGAGGGGCTCTGTAAGGAAGTGGCAGATTTCTTCCAGCTGTGTATTTTCAAATTCTAGCGATCTCGAGCAGGTTTCTCCAAAATGACCTACCCCACCTTTAAAGTCAACGTTTCAGTTTGTTCAGTGTAGATAGAAGAAGCCTAAAGACATAACAAAGAGAGGAGTCAGTTACCTGTGCTCTCTGTCAAAGACAACCTGGGTCAACTCTCCGAAAAGCAGCGGTTTATCATCCTCTCCTAGCCCAGATGTTTCTGTCTGCACCGTGAGAGCTGTAGCTGTTAGCTGACTCACAAAGTGTGTATGTTATTAGAAATGAGCTTGTTATTGTCTGCTTGGATTGCCAAAAGACACTTTAGTCCAAAGGTGAGTCCCAGGTGTGTGACTGCAGTTTGACCTGCTGCAGTCCCCTGACAGCACGCACACCAAGGTCCACTTCTAAGCTGCTGCTGAACAAGCCAGACAGAACGCAACAGATATAGATATGAGCACACAAGGATTTAGGATATATATATATATATACCTTTACCTGTGTGTGTGTGTGTGTGTGTGTGTGTGTGTGTGTGTGTGTGTGTGTGTGTGTGTGTGTGTGTGTGTGTGTGTGTGTGTGTCTGAAGTCTAAAGTCCTGTGTCATGCCTCTCACGCGTCTTCCGGTGAATAAAAGCTGAAGTAGCAACATGCTAGCTGTCACACCCCAAACCCAGGTACATTCCTGGCTTTGTACCTGCATCAACCTCAACTCCTCCATCCCAAAATACATGACTGTGACCGGTGATGGGAGAAGATCTCAGATCCTGATCACATTGATTACTTTTTATGGTGCCAGATGTCTCTATCCATAATAGTACATCACAGTGTATTAGTTAGTTGTATATTATAAATAATATAAACCTGCAAAAGTAACTAGTAAAAAGTACAATATTTGCAGCCAAAATGTAGTGGAGTAGAAGTATGAAGTAGCATAAAATGGATGTACCTCAAAATGTAACTTAGGTACTGTCGTGGCCCATTCTTGTGGGATATCTAAAACTGTGCCACGTCAACAGGGATCCGCTTCTTGACTCACACGTTAAAAACCATCCAAATAAAGCTCTGTAGGCGCTGATTTCTTTGCCTTCCTTGGCCGATTTATTTACTTCCATATATTTAAACAAACAAAATAAACAAACTGATCAGTGTAACGTGAGGTCAAAGACTGTTCCGATTCCCCGTTCATTGCTGGAGACGATTTCCACGTCACGCTCAGTCCCACCCCTTCCTTATATAACAGGTGTGGCTCACAGTAAATCAAAGTTTTCCTCCGAATATTTAATTCGGTACTAATACATAAATGGAAAGAATATATTAAGATCTAAATTAATAAGAAAATAATACACTCATTGTCAACACAGAAAATGGCTCTAACAGGTACAGTACTTGAGTAAATGTACTCAGTTACTTTTCACCACTGACTGTGACTGATATAGTTTGTGTCCATCTCCTCTAAGCTAAACAGATGTGGTTAATACCTGTCCACATCTGTCTAGAAATCCTTCATTTAGTAAATGGTAAATGCAACGGTATGTAAAGAAAAAAGTGAATTTATGAAGGATGTTGAAATATAATTTAGTTAACTTTGAACTATTTAAGAGTAATGGCAGCAGCAAGTACTCAGTGAGGCAGATAACAGTGAACAGTGCTGACAACCAGAATAATGACCAGTTACAGATTCAACTGGCTAAAAGGAAGTAAGGAAGCAATTTAGGAAGAAAAGATTGAATAAAAGCAAGATTAAAACACCTTTACACACACTGGGTCTGTTATATGCCTCGGAAGAAAACACACACACACACACAAACACACACAACACACACACACCACACCACCACACACACACACACACACACACACACACACACACACACACACACACACACACACACACACACACACACACACACACACACACACACACACACACACACACACACACACACACACGTACCTGCGGACGGTGAGCTGCAGAGTCTTGTAGGACCCTTTGACCAGAGCGATGGCCTCCTGTCTGAACCCGGTCAGCTCCACGTCGTTGATGATGACGATCTCATCCCCCGTCAGCAGAGGCTGGTCCAAACTGTCGGCTTTACCGCCCTCCTCTACCTGCACACACACAAACAAGTAAGGCCAGATTCACTGAGGAAATGGAATAAGAGCTGCAGAGGTCAATGATTTTGCTGCCACAATGTGCATGTCTTTAGCTGATGATTTACAAAGCTCATAATGCATTACAGTCCTGAGCTCCAAACACATTCTTTAAGTCTCTACTGGGTTCAAACTGAACCATATAAACACTGGTGGTGTGTGCATGTGTGTCACTGTCGGGAAAAGTGGAAGGTTTGGCTGTTTGCCAGATGGCTTTGTCCTTCTCACGTCCTGTCTGCCTCTCTATAGGGGGTTTCATTTTTTTAAAACTCAAAATAACTTTGGCAACTGTACTACACCTGCTTATTATGGATGTTTAAAGAGAACTGATTATAGAAGTGGATGCGTTCAAGTAAGTAAAATATACCTGAAAGGCATTACACATTGGAAAGAAGTATCAGTGTGAAATAAAAACAATTGTATCATAAAGTACTTATACAAGGACAAACTAGCGCTGTACTGCAAAATAAGGTCCTTGAATTTTTTTCTTATTCGTCCTATATTTTCTAAACACATGAATTATCAACTGATAACCAACATTTTTGCATTATTGAGTGAGTTTTCATGTTCTCGAGCTATAGCTGGTACAATCTTAGTGTCATTTCAACAAGCAAACTCCATAACAAAAGACACACAAACACACACACATTCTGTATTTATCAGCATGACCCCCTGCATTATCAGTGCTGCCGATGATGCCTTTTAGCAGCCTGTCAGCGTGTGTGCAGCAGTATCTGAACGTCTAGCGCCTGTGTGTTTATCACTTTGTGTCTGTGTGTGTCTGTTCGTGGGCAGGCTGTGGCTCAGTGGGTATTGTGTTGGACTTCGAATCAGGGAATAGCAAGTTCGAGTCCCACTGCAGTCAGCATGTCGTTGTGTCCCTGGGCAAGACACTTCACCCCAAATTGCTCCTGTGGGGATTGTCCACAGAACTGAATGCATGTAAGTCGCTTTGGATAAAAGCGTCTAACAAATGACATGTAATGTTCGTCCTCTTTAAGGTCACATTGTCTCCTCTTTGAGATGAGCTAAATCAAATCCTGAGATGGTAGTCAAAACATCTCTGCAGAACATACTCATTGGACAGATTTGATCACAGTAGCAGTAGTTTGTTCTACATTTTGATGCCAAATTTAGACTCCAGGCAACGTGCTCCGTGTTCCTCTGACATTATAAAACTTGAGATAACTCTTTTTTTAATGGCTTCACAGTGCTGCAGTTGGCCTGGTCATTGTCTTCATCTTTATGAACACAGAGGACGTTAAAGCTGACCATATAATGTGAGTGCAATGTTAAGTGTCCATGTCCACCTGGTACTACTAAAGTGGTCTGTATCTGTGCATCAGGAAGAACTCATGTTTATGCAGGTGTAACAGGCGAAAGCACACACAGTAATCAGCATGTGGTTGGATCATCCAGACTCTCATCAGATTACAGCCAGGTGTAAATGACCTGCGTGCAGCTCAACTCAACATGCCTCTCTCTTCCTGCTTCAGTATCTCAGGCCCCGCTCACACGAGGCCGTTTGCGTTTTATGCACAGTATTCGTATTCAAAAAAGTCTTCCGTTCACATGCATTTGTTTCATTTAACGTGTCTGTTCAAACGAGGCCGCTGGAAACTCTGTAGTACATATGCTGGGACTGTAAGTGGCGCTGTACTTCCACACGAGACCGCTCGAAAGCTGTAGTACATATGGCGGGACTGTAAGTGGCGCTGTAACTTCCGCCACAAAATACACCAAAAGCAGCGAGTATAAGATCCCCCCCGGATGTGTGTGAGGCACAAACAAAACAAACAAACGAAGATGGCTGTTATTCGCGCAAGAAAGGAGCTATTTTCGTGGTCCGACGACGAGGTGGAACTTCTTTTAAGTGTAACACTTGAGTATAAGACGACAAAAATACAGGATAATGTAGACTGGGAGTCCTGCAAGCCTAAATATACGGAGATAGCCGACTTATTTCAGGCGCAATATCCGAGGACCCCGACTGAAAAAGATTTCCCTCACGAGAAGAACACAATTTCACAGGGCCAGCTTACAGCGAAACTAAAACAGGTACAAGGGGACTTGTTCGACATGGAAGAGTCGTCGCCCGGACCAAGTTCATCCCCGAGTTTGGAGCATTCCACGGATTTGCCAGAGTCGAGTAGATCCAACGGAACTCTGCCAACTGCTGCGGTTGTGAGTCATCGCAGGGATCTGCTCCAGGTATGTTCATGATTTCAATCTTAAAGGGCTTGCTATATACTATGATGCAGTACCTTCCACTGAAAAACTGAACCGGTTTAAGCTTGGTAAAATTAGAAAGTATTTAGAGCTGTTTTATTTGTAAAATGTATTGAGAGCTATTTCACAACATGCCTTTTGTGTTCTGTTATCTGGTGGCTATGGTCCTATTGTGTATTAATTCAAACTTTCTCTGGTTTATTATAGGCACGGCTGGACGGCCACAGAAGTGACCGCATGAAGAGGAAGCTTCCAGCTGAACATGCGGTGCAGGAAGAGCTGCGATTAAAAAGCCGGATGTTGGACTTAATGGAGGAAGCAACCAGCCGGAGAATCACTTTTTGTTTTAGCTAGCAAAGGTATTTTTTTCCCTTTTACTGTGTACACATTTATAAATAATGTTATTAATAAAAAACCTTATTAAAATAAAAGAACAGTCTTGTCTTTCATGTAAGGGTCAATGTACTCCGCAAGCACTCTCCTCACTCTCTTTCCTTCTCCCTCATTACAGTCAGTGAGATATCTATATCAGTGTGTGGGAGGCTGTAAGTCCTTTTCACCTTGTAAACCTAATTTTGACTAAATACACCACATTTATGAAAAGTAACCCCCCCCCTAGTGTCAAATATCTGAACTGTGATATGTCACATTGGGCCTTAATGGTAAAGCCCAAACTATTGTTAGGCATATATTATAGTCTCAGATGTATAAAAAACATGTCTATGAAGTGTTTTGCTCAAAATACCAAAAAAATTATAGCCTCATTCCCTTCTATTTCATCTCTGGAATCAATATGATCAGTATTATGCATTTCACAAAGAAAGTTTTCATTATGTTTTTTATGAATTGTATAAATTCAACTTTGATTCAACATTTGCTTATATTACTTTTACTGAAAATCCTCAAATATTGGTTAAAATACTATTTAGAGAAGGGAAGGTAACACAATCTTAACAGGTTAATATAATAGTTTTTTACTACAGTGTATGTACTATGTTTCGCTAGTGGCCAATACAGTCTGAAAATACCATATCAAAATGTACGGTTCTTTTACTATATGTGTAAATAAATACGGTACAAAATATATATGGACAACCTGACTCGGTAGAATGGGCCATATAACTTCATTCATGAGGATGATGACATTTGTTGCACATTAAGTTCAAAGAAAGTCTGGAAGTGGTTGCAGCCAATTTTATTTTTAGTTTCACACTTTTGACATTGGAGAATCACATAGTTATTTGCTTAGTTTCACACATGTGACATGCATTAAAAAGTACTAAAAACAGTTAGGATATAATACAAAAAATCCTGTAACAGTCCTCAGATTTAGCAGCCAGGTACATATACCTAGCCAGGTATATGAATATTGTACAGCAGCCTGTCGCTGAAGGAGCTGCACAGTGAGGACAGGGAATGTAACAAAGAATGTTTATCACATCTTAATAAACACCTTTAAAAAAAATGTACAGTCTATGTACATACATGGTATGGCCTCCTCTTCGTCCACAATCTGTTTTTTCAGAGCAGGGATCTTTCCAGTTTTTAAGTACATGTTTAGCTTGGAATTAGCAAAGACCCGTGCATCATGCACACTCCCAGGCCACTTTACCACGACATCCATGAATCGGTACCTGTAATCACAGACAGCCTGTACATTAAAGGAATATTTTCCTTTCCTGTTGATGTAACTAGTGGAGTCGTTAGATGGCTGCTTGATTTCGATGTGGGTTCCGTCCACTGCTCCTAAACATTGTGGCATGCCATGTGTACAATGGAACCCCTCAACCAGATCCGCGGTCTCGGGCTCAGTAAAAGGCAGCTTGATGTATTTTGGACCCAGGTGGATGGTGATCGCTCTGCATGTCTCCCTAATAATGAGGGACAAAGACGGGCGGGAAACTCCGAAGGCGTTAGCAGTCTTCCGTAGCCTTCCCTCGTCGCTCAGGTAATTTAGAACCGCAGCAACCCTTTTCAGTGGATCAATTGGCGCCCTCATGTTTGTAGTTTTCTTCTCGATATATGGGCGCAGTTCTTCAGTCAGGGCAACGACAGAGGCTTTGGACATGCGGAAGTTCTCCCTCCATTCATCGTCCACGACAACGCCATTGACAAAATTGTCCCACCAACTGCTAGTTCTGCCCGGTCTTACCCAAAACTTTCTCCTGGTCGCCTTTCTGGTTGTTCTCCGCGGTGGATTTAGCCACATGTCGTGTATGTGGTTCTTCATGTCCACTAGTTGCTTGTGGTTGTCGTAGAAGCACCGTAGTTGTAGCTACTAACATATTAATCATGGTCAGTAGCGTCTGGAGCACAACAGCAACCCTGTGATCCGCCATTCTTGTTGTTGTTGTTGTAGAAACAAATCAGCAATGAGGCGGGGGAGAGGTGGGAAGAGGTGCGAAGAGGCGGGGCTGTCGTTATTTTTTCAGGCAATATTCGTATAGAGGCGATTAAACGGACTCGGTTGACCCCCCAGAGCGTTTCGTTTGCAAATCTATCCACCTTGGGACCCGTTATCGTTTGTGTGGTCAGTTTCTATCGGCCTCGTCTAAATAATAGGGCTATACGCACGCGAAACTATGCAGATACAAGCCGTTTTCTCCTCGTGTAAACGGCGCCTCAGGCTGCCTGTCAGAGAGGTTCCTCTGCAGGGTGAAGTGAGGAGAGCGCATGCTTCAGGCTTACCAGCACCACTGAGAGTGAGACCTCCCAACATCCAATGTCAG